GGATTGCCTGAGCCCGCGGGTTCGAGACCCGCCTGGGCAGCGAGACCTCATCTCTACAGTAGATCAAAAAATTAGCTGGGCATGGTGGTGCACGCCTGTAGTTCCAGCTACTTGGAAGGCTGAGGCAGAAGGATCACCTGAGCCCCGCAGGTCGAGGCTGTGGTGGCTGGCTGTGAGTGTGCCATTACACTCCAGCCTGGGCGACAGAGTGAGACTCTAACTCAAAAAAAAAAAATTTTTTTTTCTGTTGGTATTTTAAAATAATACAAAAGTACATGCTCATTGTAGCAACTGAACAAAGGTAACATTGTAACAATTGCCCATGCTGGTTTCTAACTTCTGGGTCCAAGTGATCCTCCTGCTTCAGCCTCCTGAGTAGCTGGGACTACAGTAACGAGTCACTACTCTTGGCCTAAACTACCTTTTTACAGTGAACAATCAATACATCATTAATCTTATTAGGTCAAAAGATATCAGTCAGATTCATTCTTTTCAATAGCTGTAAAATGTTCCATAACATCCAGGATGTTTCAAAGTTTTCTATAGACAAACTATGATACAATAAATATTCTTGAACATATGTCCATATGTATGAGTACTTGTTTCTCTGGGATGGGCTCCCAGAAACGAGACTGCTGGGTCAAAGGGTGTGAGAACATTTCATTTTAATAGACACTCCTAAATTACTTCCAACAAGCCTGGTAGGAATTCCTGGTCTTGGTTGCAGTGCATGAGGGTGCACTTACACACTAAGTTAGGAATTTTAAAAAATTAGGCCACGTCAAAGGGGGAAACACTGTAGGCTGTTGTTCTAGTTATATTTTTGGGACTCCTTGCGAGGTTGGGCCACACGTCACATGGCTGTTGCAGTTTCTCTTCCTTTAATTCTCTATTTATTACTTTGGCTCTATTTTCTATTATGTTATTGATCAACTTATATGACAAACTGCGATGTGTGTATCATATATCTTGCAGAGGTAATCTCTCCAGGCTATCATTGCTTTTTCCTTTTGTTGATGGCTTTGGTTGACATATAGCATGTAGACTCCACTAAGGCAGCGATGCTGTCTGTTTAGTGAATGTATTGGGAACAGTGCCTGGCACATAGTATGTTCTCAATAAAAACCATTACTGGCTGGACAGTATAATCCCAGCACTTTGGGAAGCCGAGGAGGGAGGATTGTTTAAGCCCCGGAGTTGTTGCCCCCCAGCCTAGGAAACATAGTGAGATGTTGTCTCTATAAAAAAAAAAATTAGCTGGGCAAGGTGGCATATGCTTGTAGGCCCAGCTACTTGGGAGGCTAAGGCAGAAGGATCACTCGGGTCCAGGAAGTCAAGGCCACGGTGAACTGGAATTGTGACACTGCACTCTAGCCTGGGTGACAGAGTGAGAACTGAACTAAAAAAAACAAAACAAAAAACAAACAAACAAAAAAACTCAAACCATCACCCAATGAACAGAGGAATGAGTAATGAGCTTAAAATTTTAATGTAGCTAAGTCTGCTAATCTTTCCACTTATGGTTTCTGGGTTATTGGAAAAGCTCTCTCTTACTAATTTTATTTTTTTCCAATTAATTCTTTAATCTATCTTGAATTAGTTTTTAATTTAAAAATCCCCTCCCCCCCAGTTGTTGTCTTAATTCATCTTGAATTTGTATTGCATGTGGTGTGAAGCAGAACAAACTGACCCTAAACTTTGGCCTACTTTGTATGATAAGCATTGCATGAAATGTGAATTTTTAAAAGCATTTATTTTATCCTACACATTGAGACACAAATGTACCCTACCACCTATTTTATGTATTGTTAAAATATCTAAAATTAATTAACCAAAAGGTAAAGATGGAGAGTGCTTTATTGACAGTTAATTTTGTTCAGATTTTTGTTCAATGATATAGAATCACTTTTGTCTCAATTATCAACCAACCCAGAGGCTGGATTATCAAGGTTTTTACTGATACACAGAAAACTTAAGTATATTCCTTATCATTTCTACTCTAATAAAATCAGCAAATTGTAGACAATCTACTTAATTTAATAGCAACATATGCTGGATTCACAGAATAAATCACTCAAACTCTAGTATTACAAAAAAATCCCTTTAGCCAGAAATGATGTGCTTTTTCTAAAAATAATGAAGAAAAATATGGACATAGGATGGTATGCAATGAATTCGATATGATTTGAACATTTTGAGGATAAGTCACACATTTGTGCATTGGGTTATTCTGAAATATGCTAGCAGTTTAACATTTTTCCAAGACTTCTTTAAGATATAAACATGCTACCTCCTCTATGAAGCTCCCCTGATTGGAAGAGATAGCTGCTTCTTCTGGACATATGTAGCAATTCTTGTTTCCACCACTCACAAAATGGCTTGCAAGGAAAATGTAAACTACCCCCGTTATTCAATAGCTAATCTTTTTTCTCTGGCACAAAGAGCTGCTGTCAAAAGGGCTGATGAGAATTTAATTTTTCCCCTTTAAAAGTCACTTTCTCTTTTTATTTTGAAGTCTAAAGGATCTTTTTTCTTTTTCTTTAAAGTCCAGTAATTTTACTAAAATATCAGTTGAAGTCTGTCATTTTAGGGTAATATTCATAGGGATGCTGTCTGCTCTTTTCAATTATAGTTCTAAATTTTTCTTGTATTTCAGTAGCGTTTTCTGGAATTATGGTTTTTAGTGTTAGTTTGCTTTCTTGCTTTAGTTTCCTTCTTCAGTGACTCTTATTATCCGTATGTTGGATCTGCTTTGTATATCTTCAATAGTAACTTTCTTCTTTTCTTTTTAATTTAATAGTTTTCCTCTTTTGGCTTTTCATTTCTTTGAAGGGGTTATCTGTTGTGCTTATTTGCCATTGTGTTTCTTTTGGTTTTGTCTTCATTTCTGAGATAATTTCTGAGCTTTTCACCTCTTTTTTTTTTTTTTTTTTGAGTTGGGGTCTCATTCTGTCACCAGTGCTGGAGTGCAGTGGCATGATCATGGCTCACTATAGCCTCCAACTCCTAGGCTCAAGCAATCCTTCTGCCTCAGCCTCCTAAGTAGCTGGGTCTACAGGTGTGTGCCACCACGCCCGGCTACTTTTTAAAAAAACCTTTTGTAGGAGTTTTCGATATGTTGCCCAGGCTAGTTTTGAACTCCTGGGCCCAAGCACTCCTCCCACTTCAGCCTCCCAAAGTGCTGGGACTACAGGCATGAACAACTGCACTAGGCTGAGTTTTTCTCATTCTGGTTTAAGTTGTTACTTTCTACTTGTATATTTTTTTAAGATGTCTTTTAGCTCATTTTATTCAAATAATAGGTTATAGCTCATCTGTCTGTGGGCATCTCTTTTGGATATTCTTTCATGGTAGGGAGGTGTTTCTCTTTCTCTCTCCTTTTTTTCCTTATATGGAATTCCTTTCCAGTATGGGATTTGACCTTAATCTTCTCCTGCACTTACTCTTATGTAAAATTAGCTATGTGTAGCTTTTCAAGGGGCCATTGTCCAAGATTCTTTTTGCAACTCCTCAGAGATCCATGCTGTGTTGTTCTCATTTAGCGTCAAATATAGGGTGACTTGCTTTCTGTGGTTTTCTGGTTTGTTTCCCTCCCCCGCTTTAATCTGGCCTTTTCTTTCCCTCATGTCTGGTATCTCTGTCCTGCTGAATTTTGATTCCACTCCTAGCGTTTTTTTATTTGGTGAGGGTCCCTGTCCTGGAAGGGAGCCCTAGCCGGGGGGTTTTGAGAGTTCACAGGTCCAGACTGCTCCTCAGCACTTCCTGGGTCCCCTGCACTCACCCACAAACGGTCTTTCCCATGAGTACCTGCTGTGTTGGGACTCTCCTATTATCAGATATGTCACCACCTCATTACCCCCCTGCTTCCTCTGCATGGCTGTTGCCATCCCGCAGGCCTTGTGGCACAGGTGATTTGTTCGAGCCACTCGCACTCTGGCATGTGTGGGGCTAGCTGATCACCTTTGTGGTAAATGTCCATGGGGTTTGGGTTTTGATCCTAGAGGATTTATGATTTTGTTTCTTAATTTTTGAGTTTTTTTTTAGTTGGAATCTCACTCTGTCGCCCAGGATGAAGTGCTATGGCATGCTCACGGCCACCGCAGTGTGACCTGCTGGGCTCCGGCATTCCTTCCGCCTCAGTCTCCCAAGTAGCTGGAACTACAGGTGCGTGCCACCACACCCGGGTAATTTAAAAAAAAAATTTATTGTAGAGACGAGATCTCACCAAGTTGCCCAGGATGGTCTCGAACCTGCGGGCTCAGGCAATCCACTCACCTCGGCCTCCCAAAGTGCTAGGATTACAGGCTGAGCCACCCAACCCGGCCTGTTTCTTAAGTTTAAAAACCATGGTAAATACACATACAAAAAATTTACCATCTTAACTAAGTACACAGGTCTAGTGTTAAGTACATTCACATTGTTGTGTAACCAAACTCCAGAACTCTTTTCATCTTGCAAAACTGGATCTCCCTCTTCCCCCCCTCACACTTTTTTTGAGTCGGGGCCTCATTCTATTTTCCAGGCTGGAGTGCGGTGGCATGATCACAGCTCACTGCAGCCTCAAACTCCTGGGCTCAGGCAATCCTCCTGCCTCAGCCTCCCAAATAGCTGGGACTACAGGTGCATGCCACCACGCCTGGCTAACTTTTTGATTTTTTTTTTTGTAGAGACAAGGTCTTGCTACGTTGCTTAGGCTGGTCTCAAACTCCTGGGCTCAGGCAATCCTCCCTCCTGGGTCTCCCAAAGTACCACAATTACAGGTTTCAGCCATCACGCCTGACTGAAACTCTCTATTTATAATCAACAACTCCTTATTCCCCTCTTCCCTCACCTTTGGCAACAACACTTCTAGCAGCTCTGTTTTTATGAGGGGACTGAGTTCAGGGAGATTGACACACTGCTGTCACCACAGCGCCACTAAACTGTAACCCCCCTGGAGACGGGAGTCTGGGTTTTACGCCCCCAGCACCAAGATGGTACCTGACACTGAACACACTCACATTGAACTGATACACGAGCCATTCCTGGTTCCTGTATCTTTTGGCAAGGTGATAGGATGTGTTCTTGACCTCATTAAAGTGACTGATGGCTAACATAAAAGTTGCCATCGTTACCCTGGGTTCTTACCTTTGCAGGTCAATAGGCAACAAGAGCTTCTAGATTGATGAATGCTGCCAACTCTTGATTGCTCAGCTAATGAAGGGCGGGAAAGGAACAGACTATTTCAAGTGGATGCTGATTTTCAAGTACTTTAGCTGTTGCTGCTTATGAATGTGTTGCAGCCAATTCCTTACAAATCGTTTGGTTCAGGCTAACGTAACACTTGCCTTTGGGTACCAGTTGCTGGTAGTGACTTGGAGAGACGGGAGTGGCCCAGAGGTGCATCGGTTTAAAAAAAAGTCAGCAGCTGGGCTCGATGGCTCAGCCTTTAATCCCACGCCTTTGGGAGGCTGAGGTGAGTGGATGGCCTGAGCC